TACAACTCTCCCACAACCCCAGCAAATGGAACCCAGCTCCCCTAGCCCAGGCCCAGGTCTCTAGGCCTCCAATAGAAGAGCACCCAGAGCCAGGTGGACAGGAAAGGCGAGATAGGCCCAAGCTCTCATTTCCTGTCTGACCAGTGACTGGAGGACAGGGGCCTGTGAGCAGATGCTGTCCCCTAAATGCAATGGGAGGGACACAACCCACCTTTAGCCACTGTGGGCATCAAAGATGGTGCAGCTGAGTCCTGGCCTGGAGCCTGGCTCCGGGTCCACACAGACAAGCCTGTGGTGTGCAACTCCTGCTGCAGGGGCTTGGGAAGGACTACGGACACCCCAGGGGGCTGGGGGGAGCTGAGCAGCCAGTTCTGCACCCCTGTGCTTGTCCTGGCCCACACAGAGGCCCTGCCCACTGACTTGTCAGCGAGCGGAGCAGATGGGCCCAGCTAGTCTGGAGACACTGGCCAGGGGGTGGGGAGGAAGCAGCTGCCCCGACCGGCTGAGTGGCCACTGCCCATGGGAAAGCCCCCAGTTGCAGGAGGCTCAAGACATCCACCCAGGCCGCAGGACAGTGCCAGTAGCTCCAGCCACGGAGGAGGCTCAGTGGAGCAGGTGCAGGAGGAGGTTCAGGTGGAGACTCACAGACTGGCTTGGGGTGGAGAGAGAAGGTGGGAGGGTGCCCCTGGCAGTGGAGTGGGGCACAGGACCCCTTTGCAACATGAGCCCATGCTCTGGGTGGGGGCTACTCCAGCTAGGTAGGTTAAGTTCACACCTGGAAGAGTTGGCTCTAGGGGAGGGCCCACACCTGTGTCCCCTCCAAGTGGGAAAGCCAGTTAACATCTGCTGTGCCTACCTGACTTGGTGGGGCCAGGGAGCAGACTCGCTGTCCGAGTTTCTGCCCAGCCAGTGCCACTACTGGCTGGGGACACGGAAGGGGCGCCCAGCCACCTCACAGGCCAGAGAACGGGAGGCAGACAGAGCTGGACTGAGCCCTCCAGCCAGCTGCCACCTCACTGGCCACACAAGTCCAGGAGCGAGACTTGGGGAACCACAGTCAGCAGGAAACCATGGGGGGCTTGTGGGCCCTGAGATCAGGTGAGCGGTGAGCAGGGTGGCCTCTGTTACTTGCTGCAGGGGGAGTCCGGTTTGCTCTGTGCCTCTCCCTCCCCATTTGGACTGGGGGTGGGGCTCCTGTCTCTTCCATAGGCGTCCCCACGAGCAAGGCTGCCTGGTCATAAAGTGGCCTGGGGAGGTTGTGAATCACTTTCCAGGGTGCAGCTGTGTACTGGGAGCCAGCCGGGCTATGCCCTCCCGACCCTGCCATCCCTGCCTCCCAGCTGTGTGACCCCAGGGTAGGCCCACTGCCTCTGAGCCACCCTGTGCTTTCTCTTTCTAATGTTTGTCACAGGGATTATGTTAGATGGTGGGAGGCTGCCACACCCTGACCTGCAACCCTGGCCCTGGTGAGTCAGGCAGAAAGGGGAGGCAGCTGGTACCTTCCCCTCTGCCTCTTCCAGGCAGCCTTCCCTGGCTGGAACTCTTTGAGCTATTCAGACCCAGCACACTTGGTCCTGGAGGGCAAGATGTGCACCCAGGGCTTCTGAGCCTGGGGTCTGGGTAGCCCAAGAAGAGAAGGATGCCAGATCTCAGCATTATACTCTAAATACTCGGGCTGCAGGCCACAGCCCAGCGGGACTGATGGGACAGGGGTGGAGGCAACAAGAGGTCCAGTTGAAGGGAATCCAGCCTTCGACATGACTGCCGCCAGGACTCGGTCCCTGGGGATGGCACAGGATTCTGTCTTCGGTGGGCAGGATGTCAGGAGGGCTGTCTGGGGTGTGGAGAGGTCAGACCTGAAACCCTGGCACTGCCTTCAGACTTACCAGCGCTGTCTGATGTAGAGGAGAAAGGTGCAAATGCATCCCTGGTCCTGGCAAGGACTGGCACTGATGGAGGCAGCTGGTGTCTGACCTGCAGACCCTCCAGTCCTGGTCTGGGCCTGGCCAAGGCTGCAGTATGGAATCCTGAACCTGAGACCACCAGCAAGGTGCCCAGGGCCTTGGGTGAAGCCTTGCCCAGGGATACAGGTCGTGGGGCTCTGTTCCCTCCAGGAGACAAGAGGCCTCCAGGCCTCTGAGCGAGCTCTCTGCCACCCACCAGACTAGGTCTCAGCCCCGGCCATGCCCTCAATGACCCAGGAACTGGCCTATCCACGTCTCTCCCCGCCCCTTGGTGAATGTCAGCTGCTGTCACCTTGTAGGCCACGGTGGACACTGTGTGGGCCCGCAGGAGCTCTCAGGAGCTCCTCTGGTGCCAAGAAGTTCACAAGTAAGGGGCCTCTGAGAAGCTTACAGGACTCTCGGGCTCAACAGTGGCTTCAGCCACTTCACCCCAGCACCCAGCGACCTCGCACTATGTGACTCTCATTTGGCTTTCACGTTGAAGGTGGCTCCCTGGATTCTGTCCTAAATGTGAGTATGCAGCCCACCCATTAGAGCTGACCTGGCTCATCGTGGACGTGGCCTCCAACCTTGGAATAGAGGCTGTGTCTCCCCTGTTCTCAGAGAAACATCTGCAGACAAAGACCCGGCTCCCAGGAGGGGGCGTCTCCTCTCTCCTAATGACTGCCCTGAGCCCACACAGGAACCCCAGGGCCACCACACTCACCCCCTCCCATCAAGTTCCTGAGGTCACCTTGCCAGCTAAACCCTGGGAGGGTGGCTCTTCAGAGCTGAGGGAGATCTGAGAAGCAGGCCAGCCCCTTGACAGGCTTCCCCCTACCAGGGCCTGGGAACTGGGAACCCTGCTCCCAGACAGGTCTCAGTCCCACCCACTCCTCCGCCCCTCCCATGGACCCTCTCAGAACTGAAGGCTCTGGGCCTGGGGCTTTCTCTGGGATGAGTGAGCCCGACTCATTCCTCATTCCTCCCTGCATGCCTGCTGTGTGTTCCCTGGTACCCTCAGGGATGTGTGTGTGGGGTTGGGGGTGGGGGGCAGGTGTCCCTGGGGAGCACTGCCAAGAAGCTCTGGCAGGGCGGGGGGGTGAGAGCGAGCACCAAAGCAGACCCAGGCCCAGGTGGGATGCCACCCTGGTCACCTGCTGTGTCCCATCCGGGGCATCGCCACGCTTCCTCCCCTGTCTGCACATTGCTGCTTGCTTCTCAGCTTCCCTGGCCTGTGAAGGGTATGCTCCCGGTGACCACGTTTGTCCTCAAACGCCAGGGTCCCCCAGGGCTCTCCAGATTTCTTCAGCCTGCCTAGGGGTGCAGCTGCACTTGGTAGGGGTGTGTGTCCCCAACCTCTGGACACTCAGACCCCGCCCTGCCTTCTCAAACATCCGGCCACAGATATGAAGACAGAGACGTGGTAGGTACATGCGTGTGTGTGTGTCATGGGAGTACACACAGGGCCACCCCTTGTTTCCTATGTGACGTCTTCCTCCTCCTCCTGGGCTGGACTTGCGGAGCCTGGGTAGGTTTGCCAATGGGCGCTGGGCTCAGGACAGGGGCTGGGTCCTGCTTCTGGAAGGCGTGCACAGCAAGGGCAGCCCACTTGCCAGCATTTCTCTCTCCCCCACGGAGGTTTCCTCTGCATTCCAAAGGCGTCCCCAGCGTCTGCCCGCAGCAGGCTCTAAGGTGCGCTGCACTTCATTAAGCAAGGGGACTGCTTCCTTCGGAGGCGCCCATCCACATCCACCCTGGTGCACTCTCTGCCAGCGCCGCAGCTGCCAACCCCAAGGCCTGCTTGCTCTTCACCAGGAAGGATCACTGATGGGATCACATAGGTGTCGGACGAGGCAGCATTCCTAAAGGACCCTAACAGTCAACTGCAGGAGCCAGGGGCAAGTGGGCACCTCCATCCCACCCTGGGTGACGGGCTGGGGCAGCGAGGAGGGCACCAGTCAGCCACCAGCAGGACATGCAACAGGGCCCGTTCACCTCCACCTGCCCAGCTCCCACCCTTGGTGGAGGCTCCAGGACACGCTGGGGAACTGGTTTCCTCCAGGGCTGTGAGGAAGAGCTGGGGAGTGGGAGAAGGTGGGTGAGGGGATGAGGAGGGGACTGTGGGGGCACGAGAGATGAGAAAGCAGCCTGTCTGTCACCCAGGCAGGCCCACCCGTCAGGAGAGAAAAGGACAGGGGTCTCCCCGGAGCCTCTGGTCCTTAGGGGCCGGCCTCGCTCCACAGGCCCTGTTTCTGCAGTCCCTCGAGACCTGGAGCCGAGGGGCTCTACAATCAGGCAGAACACCTAGCCCACCCACTGCTTCTCTCACCCCAGGCCCTTCAGGAATCCTCTGGTCTGCTAAGGGAAGGAGGCCCCTTCCCAAGACCAAGGTCATCTGCACCAGGCCTGGCCTTGACGCATGTGGGTGGCCCCTGGAGTACCTGCTGCTCAGCCTTCCCTCAGGGCCTGTCCTGCAGCCCCCACCTCCAGCCCAGCCCTCCACTGTGGAACCGGGGCCTTGCCCCTTCTTCCCTCCCATCATGCTAGCCTGAATGCTCCGCTGTCTGGGGAAGGGCACTCTTCAGTCCAGGCCTGTGGGACATTCACTGCGAAGACTGGGACAGTCCTGGGAAAACCACACGGTCACTCTGGGGTCACTCTGGGGTCACTCTTCCCCAGCCCTTCTGAATGCTGCAGATGGCCTGTGCTCCGGGAAAGGCTGCGTTGTCTTGTTCCTTTTTGTGTTTCAGATCCAGTTCCCTGAGGCACAAGATCACCCCCGGCCCCGGGGGCTCAAGTCCCCTCTTTCCCCATCCCACAAGGCCTTGTCTGCTTGGCCAGGGAGTGGCAGGCCTGCTGACCCATTCCACAGTTAAGACATGAGGCCCCCAAGCAGTCTGGACCTCGGGCCAGAGGCACTTCCTCAGTTCCATCAGGGCTGGGCTGCCACCTCCCAGCTGCCCTTCTTCCACACCCCCACTGCCACCCCCTGCAGCTCTCCGGTCCCCCCTGGGGTTTCACACCCTGAGTGCCACAGGCTACACTCTCCTCGTGTAAACATCTTAATTACATCTTTAATGTTCTCACATAGAGATGCTGTGAGTTAAATTACAGCTTTGTGCATCCCAAATTACCCACAGCCCTCCAGTTAGTGCAAGTACCAAAGTATTTATAGCATCTAGAGGAGGGAATAAATCCAGAACCTTCCCCATGGGGCCTCCTGGGCCCTCACCCCCTGACATGAGGTATTTGCCCAATGGAGGATCCACACATGCCCTCCCCGGGGTCCCTGGCCAACCAAAGACAGTGATGTGACCAGACCACTACGCATGGCTGCGTGTATATGCATAGCCAGTGTAGCCCTTGGGGTCTGTCTCTGCCCAGTGCCTTGCCCTTGGCATTGGTCCCCAGCCTCCAGGGCTTAGTAGGAGGCCGGGTACAGAGGATCTTCTTCCTCACTGCATCAACACAGGGAGACTTTCCACAGATGGGGTGGAGGTGGAGAATTTAAACACAGACCAGATTTCCTAAGTCTTTGCAAGGAGCATCCCCCCCCCCCCCAACCTTTCAAGCAGTCAGAGCTGCCTCCACTACTCTGTGGCCTGCAACTACCACCCTCAAACCAAGTCTCCAAGCCTAGGTCCTTAATGTAGTCCAGGACAAGAAGCCAGATGGAAGTGGATTGGCCTGCCTTCTGGAGCCCGCAAAGAAACAGAATGGACAGCAGGACCTCACCTTGCTTCCCTCTCCCTGTGGTCTCTGAACATTGAGGGCAGAGAAGGTGGCCTACCCCGATGCTCCACTTCATGCCATGGGGGTGGGGTAGACTCGCAGGTGGGGTCAGTGCAGTTTCCATGCTGCCCTGTGCTGGGATGGGCACACATCTGCCTGTGAATGCGCTCATGCACGTGCCTGGGTCCTTTCTGCAGACCTGATGGGCTGTATCCTCCCCATCTGAACCGCTACTTCCTTTTCCCTGAGCTCCCTCTGGGTCTGGCGAGCCGCTGGCTGTGGGAGTTGGGTGGCTGGGGCAGCTCAGGGCCATGCGGGTGGAATGGGCAGCCCTGCTCCTGACATCCTGCCTTTTGTGCAGTTTCAGCGCCATCCCCAGGCCTCTCCCAGTCTGTCACAGATGCTGGCCCTGGGACCCACATGGCTGCCTCTCCCCAGCCCAGAGAAGGCTCCAGATTTTAAAGCACAAGTCTCTCCCTGATACTGGGGAACCTCCAATTTCTTCCACCTCCTCTCTCACCCATGTCTCCCCTCCATTTCCTCCATGCCAGAGATGCAGACCTGGATATAAGCAGCCTGGACACGAGAAGAGGAAGCCAGCAGTGCCTCACAACCTTCCTGGCTCGAGGGAGGCCCTCCATGCCAGGGCCCGCAGGGCAGGAGAGGTCCATGGCCAGATTCCCAGCCTGGCCAGAGCCCCGGAGATTCAGCAGATGGGTCTGTAGAGCAGCTGGGGCCTGGTCTGGCCCTTTCCTGACTTGGCAGGGCAGGTCCTGAGAACAGATCTTGACAATCAGCGAGCAGGCAGCCCTACGGGCACCACGGTGGACGTCTGTCAGAGTTCCAGGCCTGTCCCCAGGCCACTCATGCTTGGATGGCGTTGGCTACGTCGGTAAACACCAGCCGGCTGGGCCTCTGCAGAGGGCCCTGGGAGGGGACAGTGGTCTGCAGTGAGAGAGGCAGGGACATCAGAGAACTCAACCAAAGCCGTGTCCTTTCTGACCTCCCCACCTGGCTTCCTGGTGCCTGCTTGTGCCTGACACCAGCGATGCCTTCTGCCTGAAAACTCATGCTAGAAACATGACCTGGCTCAAATGACTCCGCCCCAGCAGCTGTCCCCAGCTGGCTCTGTTACCTCCACAGCACTTGCGGTCTCAGGCAAGTCCAATCAACTGAAGCATGCATCGCTTTCTCCCAGCAGGGGGGCTCGGCTCTGGACCCCTGGACCCCAGCACGAGGGAGGTGCCCGGCAACAACTGTCAAATGATCAGTAGCCCCAGAGGTTGGGTGGACCAAGGTTCTTAGTGTGGGTTCCAGAGCAACCCAAGGGGATCCAGGTGACTCAAAAGTGGCAGAAAACCAAGGGGTCTCCAGACTCTCAGCCTGGAAACTTCCCAAATCCAGGCTGGGCAGGGCGGGGGTGGGGGACTCTGCATGATGCTCTTGGGGATTTGGGGCAATGGTGTCCAGGATGACCACACAGGTCCTCACCCCTTGGACACAGGAAGAGAATTTGGCTGGGGTCCCCATCTGCCTGGTATCTGTCAGTGACGAGGAGTGCTCCAGCCCATTCCAGCCCGAGTCTGACCCTGTCCATAACCCACTCAGGCCTGTGGACCCTGGAAGCAGAGGAATTTAGCTCTGACATGTCTCCCACCAGTCTTCTACTACTTTCCCAGACAGGATATGGGGGTACACAGGGCAAGAATTGGGACTTTGATTTGTGGGTAAGAGAATTGAGGCTCTAAGATACCAAGGAGCTTCCAAGATCAGCAGGCTATTGGGGCAGAAGCAGGCTGGAGCGTGGGGCTGCCCCTGGCCTGGCCTCACACAGAAAGTTTGTGCAAGGCCAGGGAGCAATTCTCAGCTTCTGAATAAACTGGGCCAAGCCCATATACCCAAGAGCTGCCCGCTGACCACCTGGCAGGTGTGGGCAAGCGGCATGGGAAAGGAGGGAAGCACGGGTGAGGGAGACATGAAGGGCTGCAGGCTGGGTTGGGGAGCCTGGCTGGTGCCCACCTTGCCCTGTACAGCCTGTGCAGAGGCGGCAGCCTGCATGGAGGCTGCGTCCCGCCCGTGTTCCAGCAGCTCCTGCTCCAGTTCGTCTTGTTCCTCCGTGGGGTCGAAGTTGTACATAGGCATGAGCTGGTGGCGTAGCTTCTCCAGCCTGGGGGTGGGGGCAGAGGCTGCTGGGGACAGGACACACCCTTCCCTCCCCCTAGCCCTCCAGACCTTGCCTGCTGTCAGCTGAGCCATTGCACACAGCCTTGTTTTGGGTCCTATGATTTCCCCTGGGACTAAATGACAGACTTTTTGCACTTGCTTTACCTGCTCTATCCCTCAGGAGGGTGACCTGGGAAGAAGCAATTACCCAGTCCTGGGACTGATTGGGGCCTTGGGCCACACAGCTGTCATCCATGGGGTCCATAAGGACTGCCTAGGCCAAGGCCTTGCTATAATTCAGGTTCTGGGGGATGTGGCAGGGGGTGGTCAGGGGCAGTCAGAGCAGGGCAGCAGGGCAAGGGTAGCTGGGCAGTCAGGTGGGGGTGTGTCCAGCCTACTTCTCCTTCTCCTTACCACCCTTCCCAGTCCCACAGTAATCCCTGGCTGGCTGGAATCTGCACCTGCCTGTCCTGTCTGTGAGGTCCTGGTGGAGCTCCAACCTCCCCAAGGGAAAGTAGTCACCCCCAACCCAGGGACAGCAGGATAAGCAGCCCCAGTGGTGGTGGCCTCTGTCTCCCTTCCCACTTGCACATGCTCCTGGAGCCCAGCCCAGCCCTGCCTATGGGCTGAGTGTTAGGTGGCAGCTGGGAATTACCTCTTCTTCTTCCTGATGTACAAAACCTGCAAGAGAAAGGGCAGTGTCAAATGGCAAAGCAGGGAAGCCCTAATCAACCCAGTGGTCCCTCTGGTTGGGGGATCCATTGAGGCTGAAGAATGGGAGATTTGTGGGTGTCCCCATACTCAGGGTCCCCAGCCTACACTCATGCCTCCCTTGGGTGTATTTAGATGCTGACAGCACCCAGACTGGGCCTGGGGTCTCAGAGGTAGGGACCAGCCTGCCCTCGAGCAGCCTGGCCCGGGAAGACCACACAGGTGGTGGGCTCCATTGTGCCGATATAGCCCCTGGAGCCTGCCTGTGACTCCTAACAGCCAAAGGGGCAGGAGAAGACACACAGCACCCCACCCCCAACTTTCTCCTGGCCCAAAGCCATGTATAGGTCAAAAAGAGCAGGAGAGAGGGGAAAAAAAAAAAAGAGCAGGAGCTAGGGGGTGGTCAGATTTTGCAGGGCTGAGGCTTAGGCAAGGGGCTGGGCTGGGTGCTGGGCTCCTAGGAACTTGACGGCCCACAGTAGACAGAGGCAGGAGGTGGGGCCTGAGCCCCTGGATGCAAGCCCAGGCTAACCCCTGAGAACTCAGAAGCCCCTGAGCCCTTCCTCTGTGTGCAGGCTTCCAGGTGAAGGAGCGGGCAGGCAGAGAGGACATCTACAAGCTTCAGGGGGAGCAGGAGCGCGGACAAAGCACTGAGAGAGAGAAGAGAGGGTGAGACTTGGGCAGCCACATCGGGCAGGGATTCTAGGGACCACTGCCACTACCTGCCCTTCCCCAAACTGGCAGCTTCAGGGAAAGCCACATCCCTAGAGCCTATCCCAAACTCTCTGTGGCTCCAACACTCTCTGTAGTCCATTCACAGCTTCTATCTGGTTTGGCTTCCAGCTGGCCCAGAACTCTTCCTGGGACCCCGAAATCGGGAAAGAAAGTAGGGGATCCTTTGCTCGCCCATCCTCTCCAGGCAGCCCCATGTGGGGGTGCCCCTTGCTTTCCTGTGGGTGGGAAGATCTCTGGGGTCTTCTGGCCCAGTCCCAGCACCTTGTGTGTTGCTGCCCCCTCCTCAAAGCCCCTCCCTCTCCTGTGACCTTGGGTTCAGAAGGCCAGGATCTGCACCAGCCTCCAGGCCTTTGCCCCTCTGCTCCAACTGCTGGCACTCGCCCCACATCTGCTTCTCCAAACCTTCCTTCCCCCACTTCTCACTGTCCATCTGCAGCCCCTCCTCCTCCAGGAAGTCCTCCTCCACTGATCCTGCCCACACCAAGCACTTTGCCTTCTGTGCAAAGCACACAGCCTAGCACTGCTTTGCTCCTCCTGGCTAGTGTGAGGGGAGAGGAAGTAGCAGTCAGTGAACATCTCCAGACTTGGTCCCCGTGTCCAGGAGTTTTTCCTGACCGTGACCCCCTACCCCAGCCTTTGTCCCACAACTTACCTACCTCTCCACCTGTGGCAAGCAGGCTAACCCCAGGGCCCCTGAATGTGCCTCTAAAACAAAGAGCAAGGAGCAATCCCAAGCTGCAGGGATGAAACCTTTCACAGAGAGTAAGGAGGGCAGGTTCCAGGTTCTGCTAGGGCCCTGAGGTTAGGGGACCTGGGTTTGCTTTACCAGTACATGACGCCAGGGCAAGCTCTGGCATTCCGCCTCCCCGCCCCAGGAGACCTCTCGGGCCAGGCTTCAGCCTCCGTATGCCATGTCCAGGCCCTGCCTTCTGGCCGGCAGTTGGTCCTTGGCAGCCATCCCGAGCCTGCAGGGCCCATATGGTGATCCTGGTTTACCAGAGGCTCCAGCCAGGCCATGGATGCACTCTCCCCAGCTCTATCTGCAGGGTAACATGCTCCTGAGCCTGCGAGGTCCCCTGGGAGACCACCAGCACACTGCCCTCCCCCCATCTCAGTCTGCACAAGCTCCCGTGGTCCCTCAGTGACACTCTGAGTGTCTGTGTGTCCCCTGAAAGGATGAGACCACATCCTCAGGGCTGACAGCAGCTGGAAGAGCCCCCTCCTCCCCACAGTCCCTGGACGCTTTCTGCAGGCTCCTGGGTTTTTAAAATCTGTTTGCTGCTCACATTTCTCATAAGAACCTGTCTCTCCAGCCCCGGTGGGCTCCTAAAGGCCTGGTCCAGGGCAGGTACCCGTTAACTTATCACCACGAGAATAAATGAACACTGCTGCCAACAGTCCAACAGGGGCTGAGTCTGCCACCCAGACTCCACAGCCCACAGCCCAGCCTGGCCCTCTCCTGCCCTCTACTTCTGCTGCAGCCCCACAGCCCTGTGCCTCCTGCCTGCTGCTCACAGGAGCTCCCTCCGGCCTCCAAGACTCGGACCCGCCAGCACCCTCCAAGGCGAACAGCCGCCTCCCTAACTCCTAGGAGGCCTCATGACCCAGCTCAAACACAGATCTTTTCCAATTGTTGCAGTCAGATGAATTACCCCTCTCAGCGGACAAATCTCTGGGGAAAGGGAGGACTGTGTTGTCATTAGCAGACAACTGCCTCCAGACTGGCGTCTCTGCAGTTCCAAACACTGACCCTCACCCCCCGACTAGGGGCCTCCTGGCCAGCCCCGGCCAGCCCCAGCCCACCCCGGCCCGCCCCAGCTCTCACCACCGCCACAGCCAGGCCAATCACCGTGATGACCCCAAAGGACAACAGCATGGTGCCCACGCCGGCTGCGCCATTGGCCACGTCAGGGACTCTGGTGTCATTAAAGCTGGTGGCTTCTGGGCTGAGGGTGGTGGTCTCAGAGGCTGGCCCACCTGAGGCAGGTGCCAGGCCAGGTTCAGAAGTGGGTGGGCGGCTGCTGAGCCAAACCCTAGCAGAAGGGATCCTGGAGTTCATGCTGGCGTGGAGGGGCCCTGACCGAGAGACTGCCCGTCACCAGTCAATTGGTCCACTCGCCTCGGACATCGGCGCGCCCTAGCCGGGGCTTCTGCCACCCGTAGTGGCCACCTGCAGGGCCACCTCGTGGGTAAAGGGAGCTCCCTGCCTCCCTGCGAGCTGGAAAGAAAAGAATAAAAACATGTGAGGCTAAGGACGGGGCCTGGTGCTGAGAGGGGAAGTCCCTCTAGCTCGGAAGCTCCTGGGGGAGATAAAGGTTCAAGGGCAGGGTGTGGATACATTCAGAGGCCATCAGGACACAAGCTGGATGCAGTGGCAGTTCCTGTGCGGATTTAGGCACAGGGAAATGAAGCCTTGCCACCCCTGTTTGTAGGGAAGGAGATCCCAGTGATCACACCTGGAAGATAAAAAAGGGAGTGGGGAAGTTTGAAAGAGAAAGCCCCTCCCCTGTGTGATAAGTCCCCCACTCCCACCTCCTGACTCCCTGCCCCCGACAACCCTCATCCTGCTCAGGGATAAAAAGTGCTGCAGAATTTTCCCTTTCCTGGATGGAAACACTTGCCTGAGAGTCAGGCCAGCCTGTCTTTGAATTCCAGCTCGGGCACCTAACGGGATGGCTCAAGGCAAGTCCCTCCGCCTCCGCCTCTCCGGGTCCCAGTTTTCCCTTCTAAGGTGGGGCTATTGGGATAGTGGGAGCAGCCCACAGGATCACAGAAGCACAAATGTGGGAATGAACAGCTTCCTAGAAAAGACTTGGCTCAGCACAAGCCCTCTCCCTAGTGAGCACCCAATAAGTGTTAGATCTGCTCTCAGGCCAAGCCAGTTAGAGAAGGGGGAGTCACAGGAGTCTCTGGGCCCAGTGCACCGTGTGGTCCTGGGGTGGAGAGACCAAAGACAGAAGGCAGAGAGGCTAAAGGTGGTCCTCCCACAGGACTTCTCTGCAGGCTCCTGGGGTCATTGGAGCTCTGACCCCTTCCCCTGTGGGAAGTTGGGGGCTTCTAGGGACAAGAGAAAGGTAAAGGAAGTGCCTTCCCACTTTGAGGTGACTTCTCCTTCCCTGAGGGGTGGAGGGGTAAGACAGGGTGGGAAGGGAACCTGGCTGAGCTACAGATGGACAGACCCACAGAGTAGAGGGCTTCGTAGTTCATGGCTGCACACGTACTGCACCCGTGCAGGTGCATGAATGTGTGTGTGTGAGGCAGGTGCACACACATCCATGGTGGCAGGGCAGGCAGAGGGACCGGAGGTAGGTGTAGGCTCTCCCTCAGACTACGCTAGGTCAGGGGGCCCAGGTTCTTTCCTTGGCTCTACCACTGACCCCAAGCATGACCTTGGGACAGACTCTTAACTCTTGCTCTGGGGCTCTACTGACTTGTCCACCCAAAGGAGCGAAGGAGCCCTGCTGACCACTCTCGGGGCCTGCGTGGGGGCCCGCAGGAGAAGGCAGGGAAAGTGGGGTGAAGGGGCTCGGCAGCGCGCCCTTTGAGAACCCGCATGCCGTTCTCCACCGGGTCCTGCAGTCCTCCCTGTCCCGATCCCCACGCCCGCCTCCGCGGCTCTGTGATGCCTCCATTTTTGCACAGAAGCAGCGACCTCAGCACTTACTTAATCCTCTCCGGGGCGCCGAGCTGTCAGAGAGTGTAAGAGTGGTGGCGACCGGCAGGAGGCCGGAGCGGGGCGAGGGGGAAACCCTCAGGTTCTGCAACCCTCAGGGCTGCAGGTACGACCTGAGGTCAGCGCTCGCGGCACACTCCGAGCCGCGGGCCGGGGCAGGTACCGGGCAGCTGCAGCGGGTAGCGCCGGCTTTTCCAGCCTGGACTGCGGTGGGCAGGGCCAGAGTGGGCAGGGCCTGAGCGCCCGGCGGGGGCGAGGCCGAGCGGAGCAGCCTCGGGGGAGCCCCGAAGCTCCAGCACCTCACCTCCCGGCCGCTCCGCGCCCCCAGGCCTCGATTGGCTACCAGCTCTAGAGCCCGCCCGGTATTGGCCCGCTAGCCTGTCGCTCGGCTCCGGCCCCGCCCCCAGCAGGAGCCGGGAGCGGGGAGCCTGGATTTTGGAGCTAGGTCTTGGTTCCCCGAGACCACCTTTCCGCCCTGTGGCCCGCGCCAAGGTCGGGCGAGGGGCTGGCTGTGGGGGGCCAGGCCCTTCTCGGTCCAGGACTCGAGACCAGCCCTGCGCCGCGCAGACTCGCGCTCCCAAAACACAGGCTAACGCGTGAGAGTCTTTCAGCCTAGGCTGAACTCTGGCCCGGCCCTCTGCTGACTTTGTAACCTTGGGCAAGCTCCCTGGCCTCTGCTTCCTACCGTGGTGGCGGGTCTGGTGTGGGGGCCCCTTGGCTAGAAGTGGGGAGTCTTCAGTCCAGAGAGGTTAGGCACGGGATGGTATTGTTATCTGGCTGGTGTCATCACTGGGCACCCCGACCCAGGCAGGCCGACATACAACCAACCCTTCACGATCGCTAACGTCCTTGGCGTGGTCATCTCAACGGCGAAGTCCTCAGAGAGCCTTTAATCCGCAGGTTTTCAAAGGCGCTTATGGGGATTACGGGGTTGCCAGGTAGAGACGCGGCTCTCCGAGGCTCCCCTGGTCCGGGACAGAACGCGGCGAGCCACGTGTTTAATAGTAGTAAACAGTGTTCTAGTTAATGGTAGATTCTGGTGCTTGGCGGTGACAAGCCACGCTTTGTGGGACGCTGCCATGAATTTTATAAGAGCAGCAACTGAGGCCCCGAGAGGACTGGGTACCTGGACAAGGCCTGGCGACGAGTCGCCAACTTTTAGGATTCGAACTCACGTCTTCGGCATTCGGCTTCCAGTTCCCTGCTCCAAATCCTGATCGGAAGTGAGCGGGTTAAAACCCGCCCCCAACTCGGGAACCCGGCGCACGGCTCGTTCTGTCGCACCGGCTACGCTAGGCCACGCCCCCGACGTCGCGTCCAGGCCCCGGATCGCCGGTCCGTCGATGACACGCCCCCGTTCCGGCCAGCTATGGGGTTCCGCCAACACACTTCCCCCATCCCTGTACTTTTCGGCTTATGGGTTTACGGGTATGGTGGGCGTGGAGTTCACAGCCTTCCCACCCTCCGCTGGGGTCTCGGGGTGGGTGGGGGGAACAACTCAGCAGCAGTAGGAACCCTGGAGCAGGGAAAACGGGTCTGCCCGAGCCCTTTCTCAGCTTCCCGGCCCGGAAGCGGGGCTTATGAGGGAGCGCCCTGAAGACTACGCACATCCGGGCGCTTATCTCCGGGCCGGATCTCCAGGGCCGGTTCTCCCGGTGGGTGGGTGGGGCAACCCCTTTGACAGGTATGCATTAGAGTTAGGGATTGGGATGGGGGCTCCTAGACTGCAACACCCTTGAGACCTGTCTGGCCTCATCCTCCACAGTACTGACGGGGAAGCAGCCTCAGAGCGGGGGAGGGGGCGACCTCTGAGTCAGTGACGGTGCGGTGGCGCCGGGGTGTCTGGAGTCAGGCGCACCCGAGTTCGTGTCCTACCTGGGAAGGCTTCTGGCGGGGTGTCCGCAGGCAAGTCGCTTCCCCTCTTGAGCCTTGCTGCCTCTGAGGATGTTGGCGTTTGGCAGGTGCTGCTGGGTAAATGCTGGTTTGGACCCTAGTCTCTCTGGAAGTAACAGGGACCACTGATTTTCAACTTTCAGTTAAACTTCCTTGTGACACTTGGATTATAACATTCTCAACTTTTTTAGCTGGCAGTTTATGCCGATATTAAGTTAAGTTAAAGGGAAATTTCCAGCATCCAAACCGTGGCAGTTCATGCAAATGTCTGAAGCAAAGCTCCCCAGAAAGGAGAGCCTCCTGTCTTTTGTAACATTAGTTAAATTAGCAATGTTGAGTCCCTGCTATGTGCGGAGCTGGTTTCCCGGCCCCTGATATTCCTACTTTGCAACATGGCATCGGTGCTATTTCTGTTTCACGAATGAGGAAACAAATACAGCAATAATGGTTTGCCCCAGGTCAAGGTCACTTACACTGGGTCACATGCAGATCTATCCTACCTGCAAACCCATGCCCTGACCCACCACCAGCCTCTTTTTCAGCAGGTATTTAACTTAAGGTTCAGTCCTCTTCAACTAAAAACTTGGAGAAAACAGAACTGGCCAAGACAAGAAGAATCAAGCAGATGGGTGAGGATCTGTAAGGAGTCAAGAGGTGACAGAGCAGAAGCGTGCTTGTCCCACACGGCCCAAGTGCTCACCCGCTTCTCCCCTTCATCCCTCCAGGTGGCAGCCGTGGCTGAGGAACAAAGCCATTCTGGAGAGCCAGAGCCTGTGACTGCTCCATCCACCCCGCCGGGGCCAGGGGTCACTCTCAGTACTTACCTCAGCAGCTTCTAGCACCAGGGGGTTTCAGAACATGGGGGCACTCAGGAAAGCCCTTTCCTGGGAGGTGAAACTTTGGGGCCGAGTGCTGAGGCCCCTGCTGTCCTGCCAAGGCAGGACGGGAGGCACCAGGGGCAGGACTTGCAGCTCACGGCAACCCCATCCGGCTTTAGCTGGGCTGTTGAGTGCCACAGGGCAGGTCAGCCACTGGACGGAGGTATTTGAGAAGAGAGGCATCCCTGAGGCCCGGGAATCCAGCGAGTACATCGTGGCTCACGTCCTTGGAGCCAAAACAGTTAAGTGCACTGTTGGTAGGAGGGCTTCACTATGTGCTTAGCTGAGACGGGTGGCATTTTCTGAAGGAATGTCAGATATTTATTCAACAAATGAGTCCAGTGTGTGTGTGCCAGGCACCAGGGGTTCAGGAACGGCCAAGGTGACCAGAGCGGGGCCCGTAGGCATTGTCTGCATTCGGAACCTGGGTTGTGGCCTCTGGACCATGGGAGCCAGCAGCTCACCTTCTCTACGGGGATAGTTTCAGAGCCTGAAGCCGGTTCTTTGGACCCAGCCCCTGACCCCTTGGCAACTACAGCGCATCCAGGAGCTGTGTAGCCACCGATTGCAGAGGTGAGCATCCATGGGTCAGACCTGAGGGCTCTGCATGGGGAGCAGAGGCCCAGCCCCCCCCCCCCAGCCCCTGCCAAATTCATGGTAAGGGAGGAGGATTATATCCAAGGGTTAGGGAGGTGTTGGGGCAACGAAGTGGCAAGAGGGGGGCCCAGCCTTGGCAGGGGTCTCAAGGCAGTGGGAATGTGGCCTTGCCAGACAACCTGTAGGCACAAATGGTATCCTGGTTCTGGCACTGATGACCACCCGGTTGCCCCTTCTGCAGGATGCCTGTGCAGTACATCCTTGGGGAGTGGGATTTTCAGGGACTCAATCTGAAGATGGCACCCCCAGTGTTCATCCCTCGGCCAGAGACAGAGGTGGGTGTGTCACCATGACGAGGCAGTGTCCTGCCTCAGATTTCCTCCAGGGGGCGCTGGGGCCACATGAGTGCGATTGTCCGACCTGGCTGGGTTGGTGACGCCAAGAGGACAGAGGACTCCTGTGGGGCCCCTTTACCGTCCTCGTGTCCCAAGTCATGGTCCTACCCCAGGGCTGCGAGTAGCCCAGAGTCAAGTTGTGCCACCTCAGTGTTTAGCTTGTCCTTGGCATTTCCTAGGAACTATACTGGGGGACACCATGGGAAATAATCTGCCCCAGCAACTTCTCAGGGGCATGGGGAGGTGGAGAGGACTCCAGCTGGACACCTGCAGGTTGGCTCTGAGTTGTGTGACCTTGGGCAGATCACTGCTCCTCTGCACCCAGATGATGAGGGGGTTGGGCCTACAGACCACGGACTCTGTGATTTGGTGGTCCTCTCAGGCCCACTGGTCAGATAATTGCCTGTGTTGGGTTTTAAATGATTAGCATTGGTGCTGTCCCTCGATGAGACACCCTGATCTTGGGAGAGGCCCTTGTTGCACCTTCCCCTGACCTTACAGATGGCAGAGCTGGGAGCCAGAGAGAGTAGATTGAGGAGAGCATAGCCTGGTGGGCAGGCCAGAGGTGCGATGTTCTGAGACAGGAACCCAGGCACACAAAACACTCCTGGGAAAAGTCAGGTCCAGTCCTCCTGGCCTCGGTTTCTGTCCCCCAGCCAGGAAACCTTCTGACGGCTCTCTGGCCATGGCATGCAGTTGGGAAGCTGGGTCTTTTCCTCACTGCCTGGGGTCAGGACAGGCATCATAGGGAATCTGAGGCCTTGCTGAAGTCACAGGGCCAGCAAGGAAGGGAACATGAGGGCAGCACTTGGACTTCCTGTCTCCTGTGCGAGGCTGTGCCATTGAGGATTGGCACGATCTGGGATGCAGTGCAGACTCACAGCAGGATGTGGGCTGCCTCCTGCAGTCTGTTGGGTAGCCACCCTGTGGCTTCCCCAAACGTGCAACCTCTAGCCAGGAAGTCGCTTGTCATCCCCCTGAGACTGCCAAGGGTCATGACGTGGGAAGGCAGTTGTCAGGATGATCTTCGAGTTCCCCTCAGAACTGACCTTGCTTGCACCAGACGTGTGTTCTGGGATTCTGAGTGTCGAGGGTGGGTTCCTAGCTCCCATGTGGCCCCCCCTTTTCTTGGACATACTGGGCCAGGAAAGCAGCTTTGCTGTGAAGAGTGGGTTGGGACAGGACTGTGTAGCTGGGAGGCCAGGTCCTCACCTAACTGTACAGACATTTCTGAGAACTCGCCAGGCTTGCTGCAGTGTGAAGCCACGTGGGGAGAGGCTGCCTTACCAAGAACTCAAGAGGACGTGGCCTGTGGCAAGAAGTGGGGAGATGGGGTGCAAGGGAGGGGTTGTGCTGCTGTGATCTCTCCATCCACTGTGAGGTAGTTTCTGATGATGGGTGCAGAAGTCTGATGCAGAGTTGCAGGTGGCACATGGCTTGGAGCATGGAGGTTTTCCTGGGTTGAGAAGGCAACTCAGCTCTGGCCTGCCAGTGTGTACAGCAGGAAACCCTAGGATGGGCTCTGGCCTGCCAGTGTGTACAGCAGGAAACCCTAGGATGGGGTATGAGCCATTCTGGCGCAGCCTGGTGTGGAGAGGCTATCAGGGTGGGGGTGGGGCCCAGGCTTTTATCTGTGATTGGTTTGGGGGAGACACCACCTTCCTGGGGTGCTTCTCCAGGATGTGATCCTAGTCAAGGTGCCTGTGGCACCTAGGTCCAGGCTGACCTATTAAGGGATATGGAGTCCAGGGTGGGGCAGTGGCTCTAGGCAGAGCCAACAACTGCCTGCTCCCCACCTCCTCTGGTACCTCTTTGTCCCTCCACCCCATCATGTTCTTAGATTCTTTGCATGTTCACCAGGAGGAGATACCTAGGACCTGTGACTAACTTGGTTATTAACTACCCCCAGAGGGCTTACTTGTAAGCTGGTGGGGGGCTTTTCATCAGGTGAGGGAAGAAGTTTCTAGACTTCCTGGGGGTCTTCACCCACCCTCCAGGTCCCACAATCAAGGTCAGCCTCCTGTGGTCTGGAGTGAGAGGTCACTGGTGGGGGCGGGGGAAGGGGAGTGGTCTATCAACCTCACACCTGCCTCAGGTGGGTAGTCTCTGAGACCAGGGGCCTCTCAGGGTGGCTGACCAGTGTGGCCGCGGACAGGTCATCTCCAGCCAGAGGAGGTCTGTCTGTGGCCAGAAAACCAAGACTCACACCCTGACAAGTCTCAGTCACCCTGCCAGCCACCGGGCACATGACCTCACCACTGAGACCACAGGGTCTCAACCACAGCTCGGACTGCACACCCTGTGCTGGTCCCAACCCTCGACACCCACTTGCTACAAACCCCAATAGTACCTGGTGGTAGCTGCACAGCAAGCGACTGCATGGGGTTCCTGCAGGTGCCAGGCACCCTCTGCGGCGTGCAGTAGCTTCCAGAGGGGCTTGCATCGGGGAGCACTGGGCCTGCTGGCCAAGTTCTGCCTGCCTTGAACTTGTTACTTTTAGAGTGACTAAACTTTGCTACTGGAGTTGGGAGGGCCCAGAAGAATGACATGCTTTCTGGGACTCAGCTTGAGGAACTTACATGGAAAATGGGCCAGAGTCACCCAAAACCCTCTGCTCCAAAGCTCATGGCTTTGATGCCTTGTGTGGGCCTGGGAGTGTGAGACTTGGAGGGTTGCTTCCCGATGCCACAGAGAGCTTGTCTAGCCCGTGAGAAGTAATCAGGAGGCCCCTCTGTGGGCCAAGCCCTGCAGGTGTGGGCCCATGTGACAGTCAGAATCCAGGTTGTGGACTCCTCCCATTGTGGAGTCTGGTGGGAAAGGCAAGCCCCCTCCCAGACTTTAGACCCCAGGTGGGGAAAGTTGCAGTAGGGCAGGCCTGACAAAGGGGTTGAGGAGGGCTTATGGAGGTGGGCCTCTTTTCAGATGGGAGAAGCACCCACTTGCTCCCCCCCCATTCACTCTATTCCCTGAGCCAGTCCTGCCCAGGGGGTGGAATCCCAGGAGTCCTGAGCCTCTGATGAAGCTCCTCTGCCCATGTCCAAAGGGATGGCTTTGGGAAGGGGCCACACTATCCTTTCCCTGCTCCACACGTGGCTACTCGGGCCTCCTCCCCATACTGGCTCCCACGCCCAGAGCCTGCTCCCAACAGATGGGAAGGTGGGACTCAAAACCTTCTTGTTCCTTAGTGACAATGTCTGAAGTGTTCTGCCACCATGGTAGATAGAGTGCAGTTGGGTACTTCCCACTACATCCGTGGTGTTTACTCCATGCTGTGTGTATGCCCAAGCCCCCGTTAGGAATCCCCTCTCACCCATGGAGGGACTTCCCTGTCTCTTTCTTGAGCCTGGGAGCCTCCCTGGGGACTCCCTAGCTCAGTTCTTTGAAAGAGCTTTGGCTGTACCAGTCCCTGATTCTTGGCTACCATGAGTCACAGGCCAGTCTCCATGGGGGCCTTAACCCCTGGGGTGCAGTTTCTTCCTGGGCCAGTTAGGAGGATCCATCAGATGGGACAGGACGAGGAACAGAGGGAGGCGTGGCCAGGTTTATCAGGTGTGGTTCTTAGCATTTCTGTGAGCACAGAGAAGGGTGATGTCTGTAAGGGCTTAGTTTACTGAGCACCCGCCTTGCCACAGGTATGGGGTCAATGCCTCATAAACGTGCTTCTATTTAGTCTTATTTTTTTTCCCCAAAGAAACTTTATATTTAAGGAACACAGACTTCATGCATTTCATAAGAACAACTTTATTAATATAGTGATTCTCCCCACCATACCCTATTTAGTCTTCATGAGTTGGGTTGTCCTCAACTGTGCTCAGTTTTACAGATGGGGAAACTGAGGCATGGGGCGGCAAGGGGACCTGCCCATGGCCCCAGCTGACATGCAGGACAGCCTGACTTTGGCCTCTCTCTACAGCCACACAGGAGCTGACTGTGATCCAGACCCCTCTGTCTTGCAGGAACTGGTTGAGTGGGTGCTGGAGGAGGTGGCCCAGAGGCCTTGTGCAGCGGGAGCCCAAGGCGGCCCCCTCATTCTGGAGGTGGGCTGCGGATCTGGAGCCATCGCCCTTAGCCTGCTGAGCCAGCTCCTGGAGGTGAACCCTGCTGCGCCCCTCTCCCCTACCCTGGCTAGACTGAGACTGACACACTCGCTGGCCTCCCGTTGGCCTTCATCCCCTCCCCTCACTAGGAGCACTTGGGAGAAAAATGACCAGAGAAGGGAGGATAGGGCTGTGCCAGCTTCCCATGGTCACAGCCTCTCCCTGTGCTCCCCATCTGCCTCACTAGACCCTGGCTGTAGAGAGGAAGAGGCTATTGGCTGTCTCCTTCTCCTGGGGAGGGCTGGAGGAGGGTCCCCAGGCCTGACACTCCAAGCACCCTGCCTCCTATGCACCCTCTGTTTCTTCTTGGGGCAGAGCCGAGTCATTGCTGTGGATCGGGAGGAGGCCGCCATCTGTCTGACCCACGAGAATGCTCAGAGGTAGGCAGCTGGGGAGGGGGGGGGTGTCAGGTGGGAGAGTTAGACTTTAAGGCCTGGACTTGACCCTTATTCAAGTATCAGATCCATTGGTGTCTGCTTTCATTTCCAATCGGGAAGAAAAGGGAGTGGCCTGGCAGCTGTCCCACAGGGTTATGACAGGGCATGGGTATCTTGCAAGTCTGAGAAGGTTCACTATCCCTTCCAGTCCCTGTGACCAAGAGCAGGGGTCAGTCCCCCATGTTCACCCCACCCCTTCTTTGCAGGCTTCAGTTGCAAGACAGGATTTGGATCGTCCCCCTCGATGTGACCTTAGGTATCACCCTCCCTACCCCTATTGTCCCTGAGATGGGGATCCTGGATGCTGGTGCTGCTGGGTGGGTGCCACACTGGGGACAACAGGAGAACTTCCCGCTGCCCTCCCCACCTGCACATGGATACACACACACACACACACACACACACACACATGGCATCTGAGAGCAGCCCTGGGTGAGGACAAACAAGTTACTGTTGTTTCCTTGGCTGACCTGACCCAGGAGGGACCCGGCTTCAAGAACTTTCTTACTGTCTGAATTTTCTGTGACCAATGAGTTTCTCTAGGGTTTGCTTGTTGTCAAGAGATAAGCAGATGCTCAACAGGAAGCCTTTAGGACCAGAGTACTTGAGTGCCCGCCCTACCTCCACCTGGCTTGGGAAGGAGTGGCCCAGACACTGCCCCCTCAGCCACAGCCTCTACAGGGTCCTCAGGTTTCCAGCTTCAACACTGGCTCCATCACATCTGCCACAGGATCCTTGAGTTTTGATAGAGCTGGTGTGGCAGCTGGCCCAGGCGGAACCAGTCAGCAGCCATCAGGATCGGCTCACTGAGAGCAGGCCTGCTCTCTGCGCCCTCTCAGACCATGCTGGCTGTAGGGCAGAGAGTAGCAAGGCCAGGGGGATGCAGAGGAGAGAGGCTGTTGTTTTATCAGGTAAAATGAGAGGGCTTCCTGGAGGTGACACAGGAGCTGAGTGTTGCTTAACAAGGAGGTTTTTGACAGGAAGAGGAGAGGGCAAGGACATTCTAGGTGCAGGATTGCCCTGTCTGGGAGTGCACAACTGTGGTTAGGCTGGGCACTGATCTGCAAGCATGGCTCATGAGGTCCAGAGACAGGCTCAAGGGGTGGCTTGTGGGGAGTAACTACCCAAGAGACGTGGTAGCCAGCGGAGCTGACACTCTCCCTGCCACTGGACCAGCTTGTGCTATGTGTCTGTTCCTTTGACCACAGAGGGGAGCTGGACACACCTTCTGCCCTGGGGTCCTGTGGACCTGGTCGTCAGCAACCCTCCCTACGTCTTCCACCAGGACATGGAACAGCTGGCCCCAGAGATCCTCAGGTGCTGGGGATGGGAGGGGGGCAGGCTGGGAAGGCCCAGTGGGGTTGCCCTGTGCTGAAGGACCACACGGTCAGGAGGAGTGGGAGGCAGGAGCTGAAAGCGATAGCAGTATAGAGAGGGTACTTTCCAGAGCCCACAGCCCTGCCTGCATTCAGCTTCTGCCTTCCTGCAGACTGCTGGACAGCCGCTGAGCCTCTCTGAGCCTCTGAAGGGAAGTGGTAGTGCTGTGCAGGGCTGTGGGGAGGTCTCCAATGGCCCTGTAGCATCGGATGCAGGAGGGGCTTACAGATGGGGCATCATTTTACACAAGACTGAGGCTCAGAGAGGGGGGCACCTGTCTCAGGTTGTGTGGGAGCTTCGCTACCCTGCTCCAGCTACTCACTTGGTCATCATGCTATCACACAAGGGCTGAGAGCCAAGGTCTCCAGACAGGGCAGCAGAAGTGTGGGCTGGGGCGTGGGTTCCCACTTCTTGGGCTCTCAGGAGCAGTCAGGGCCAGTTCCAGACCCCTCCAGACCAAGAACCGGAGCAGCCTTGTTTTAGGCAGACATCCTTGCCTTGGGCTGGCAGTGGGATTCAGCAAGCTTGCCTGGCCCTGCCTGATGGGGTACTGCTTGCATGGGTAGGTGGGTAGGAGCTGCCATCTGTTCAGGGACTACCTCCTCTTGGTCCTCAGCCTTGCAGCATAGAGTGCATGTTCTGAGGAGTCCCTCTGGGAGAACCTTGTCTAGCCCCTCCACATTTCAGCTACCCCATGCAGGTTCTCATCTCCCACTGTTTTCCTGTGCAGTTATGAAGATGCAGCCGCCCTGGACGGTGGGAAGGAGGGCATGGACCTTATCACGCACATCCTGTCCCTGGCACCCCGGCTCCTGAAGGACTCTGGGTATGGATGGGACAAATCTCCCAATGCGTGCCAGACACACCCCTGACACTCATTCTGCTCTGCCCCTCCTAGCAAACTCAGAAGTGCAGGACCCAGCCCTGCCCAATTTAGCTGACCCATTTCTCTCCCATGCAGAAGCATCTTCTTGGAAGTGGACCCAAGGCATCCAGAGCTTGTCAGCAGCTGGCTTCAGAGCCGGCCTGGCCTGTCCCTCAGTCTCGTGGCTGTGCGCAGGGACTTCTGTGGGAGGTGAGGCTCTACCATCCCCTCTGCCCCCACAGCCACTCAGGCCATCTTCTGCTCCTGCTGCGAGGGGAGTGTGCTGCGCCTACTCCTTGCTCATCCCCTGGAGCCCAGGATATAGCCAGTTCTTCATTTCTGTCTCCTCAGGCCCAGGTTCCTGCATATCCGGAGATCTGGGCCATAGTGTGGCTGTTCTGCAGATGCCTGGCCATGGTTCCAGCCTGCACGACTGCCTGGCTGGCCCTTATCGGAATGCTGCTCAGGGAGGTGGGTCACTTTCCAGGACTCTGGGTACTTGTGGCATTTCCCATGCTTCTGTGGGTCCTGTGCTCTGTGTTGCTGGGAGGCCTGGGGTAGGAACAAGGCTTGAATATTCTTCATATGGTATCAAAGAGCAGGCCCAACCCATGTTTAGCTCAGGAGCTGGGCAGACCCAGGCTTCTGATCTGGCTCCCTGTATGTTAACGTGGCTGAGGGCAGATTCTTAGGGTCTCTGGTGGTGGAATTGCTTTGGGGAATTGGGAAATATGGACAGTAAAGTATGGAGAGACTGACAAATGGTGACTGAGTCTCTGTTATTGTGATTTGTGGTTCCCTACCCCTCGCCCTCAGGCAGTGCTGGGGCTGAGAGCTTCCTTCTGCCCAGCAAGGTGGCTGTTAGTGCCCTGCCTGGTGAAGAATGTGGGAGGGAGTGTGGAGGAAGGCACAGGGGAGCTCACTCCAGACCTGGCAACTGTGGGCCTGGTACTGGGCGTCTCACATCCAGAGGCTGCCTTAGCTCCGGACTGCAGGTGTCATTACCTGCCTCATCCCAGGGTACACATTAGTAGGAGGCTGGAATCGGGATCCAGGCTAGGACAGAAACCTTGGTACTCTGATGTGGAATTTTGGCATCTTAGCTACTATGCCAAACATCTGCCCCCATTTACTTTATAATCTTGTAACTTTAGTTACAACATCGTTCCAAGTTGACCTTGAGGTTTCAGATGATCCACCTGGCCCTGGCTGGGGTGGGGGGTAGTGAGAAGCTAGACAGTGGCTATGATTTTTCCACCCCGGCTATGGTCTTCGCAGACTCTTGGCCACCAGGACACTGAAAGGCACAGCCCTGGCCTCAACAGCAACAGGAAACCGGTACGTCGGTGGGTACTGGTGTGAGTTTGCATTGGCGTGGGGCCTAAGGAGCATGGCAGACCAGACTCATTCTGCCAGATATTGTCCCCTGTCCTGGTTCTTTCAAGGGCCTGACCCAGGGTGCAGCAGCCAGAGGCAGTGTAGTCCAGTGGGTAGCATACTGCGCAGGAGCCAGGAGAGCTGAGACCCAGGGCTGTGTCTTGCCGTGAGAGCTCAGGCAGCTCCTTTCCCTTTGAGAAGCTGGCTCTTTTAAATCCAAGGCCAACACAAAGTGGCAGCCTCGTTTTACTCCCATTCACCCAAGTATCCTGTGTTTGTTGGCATCTGAATGCCCACTCCTCTCCAGGCAGGGATACCAAGGTGCCTGGCATCCCGTGTTGGAAGGTGGCCAGGAGGAGACAGGAAGGTTGGTCCCTGCTTTTGATGGGTCTGTATCACACCCAGCCTGATCACACAGCCACAGTTGGGGGGTGTTTACACTGGCACAACTATACTGCGGTTCTCAGGACCTGCCATCCTGCCCATACCCAGCCCCTACTGCAGGGACCCTGAGCTGCCCCCAGCTTCCTTTGAGGAGAACCCAGGGGCTTCATCTCTTGGCTGCGTCAGAAGGAAGCTGGGAAGGCAGGACTTGCTGAGACTCCCATGGCCTTAGACCTCTGCTCACCAAGGCCCTCATGGTGCCTGTGCCCTTTGACTCTCGCTGCCTTCAGTGGCATCTCAGGACACTAGTGCTGACCTCAGAGCAGTAAGTGGCCTCTTTGTCCATCAGCTTGGGCTACACTTAGCCAGTGCTGACCCCTGATGGTTTCAGCCTCCTGGCCTCAGGCCCAGTGCTGAGGGAGGGCTGGTGAGCATGTCAGTGTGGTGCTCAAGAAAGTGTGGTAGAAAAAAAACAAAACAAAAAAAAAAAAACAACCGGGCCGGCGCCGCGGCTCACTAGGCTAATCCTCCGCCTTGCGGCGCCAGCACACCAGGTTCTAGTCCCAGTCAGGGCACCGGATTCTGTCCCGGTTGCCCCTCTTCCAGGCCAGCTCTCTGCTGTGGCCAGGGAGTGCAGTGGAGGATGGCCCAAGTGCTTGGGCCCTGCACCCCATGGGAGACCAGGAGAAGTACCTGGCTCCTGCCATTGGATCAGTGCAGTGCGCCGGTCGCAGCACGCCGGCCGCGGCAGCCATTGGAGGGTGAACCAACGGCAAAAGGAAGACCTTTCTCTCTGTCTCTCTCTCTCTCACTGTCCACTCTGCCTGTAAAAAAAAAATAATAATTAAAAAAAAAAAGTGTGGTGATGGAGAGTGACAGCGTGGGGCAGCCGGGGTCACTGGAGTGGGAGCCACCTCTATGACAACTTCTTTCCAGAAAATGTGGGGCTTGATTCCCCTGGGAAAAAGGCCCCAACCAAGTGGACTGGCGGGCTGGGGCCTCAAGACTGCAGCTGCAGGCTGCACTTGGCTGTCTCTGTGGGGCTCACCAGGTTCCTTTATTGACTTTGTTATCCCCCCACGCCCCGCTCTGCCGGGATCTGTGTGGTCCCTGTGTTGTGCAGCAGTCCTGCTCTGAAGAGGGAAGATGGTGGTAGGAAGGGCTCCAGAGCTGTCGTCAGGACCCAGGGCCCACTGCTGACAGACCTGAGGGCTAGCGGCCCAAGCTGGGGGACCCTGTGACTTCTTTAGACCTGCAAGTTTCCCCAAGCACCCCGGGATGCTTTTCTCTACTGCGTGGACATCAGCCCCCGGACAGGACTCGCCATTCGCCGTACACACCTTCCCTTTGCCCAGGCAGTGCTTCTATGAGGATGCCCTTGCCTGCCACTGCCTGTCTGAGTCATCCCCTCCTTCAGTTTTCAAAGCAAATGCTGCCTCCTCTGGGACACCTGCCCTGACCTCTGTGTTCTCTCCCTGCCTGCCCATAGCCCACATCACTGCCAGCGCCGATGACATTCTGTCCCATGCATTTGCAAACTTTCCCGTCTCCTTCCATCTCTCTGGACACCCTCTGAGTCTGGCATACTCAAGTTCAGTAAATGTCTACTGATATACTAGCGGTATGTTCATACTCTAGAACAGGGCTGGAACTTCCCTGTGGCCCGCATGTGAGTGACCTCGGCTCTCACGTATTCTAGTCAGCAGGGTGGGGCAGCTGTTTGAGCTGAGCTGTGGTCACTTCAAGGGCTCCAGTGCACGTGATCCCTGTATGCTACCACTCCAGAACAAGCTGTCCTTGGCAGCAGCAGGGGCAGGCACCAGGTTTCCTGGAGCTCTTGTCAGCTAGCTCCCAGCCAGGGTATTGGCTAGGGCAGTGATCCAGTCCCCCCTCATGAGTCCTCTACCCTGGTCAAGCTCCCTGGACTGGGCTTGGGACTGGCAAAGCAACCTGCCCCCCTGTGGTAGGCAGATAAATGCCTCCCAAAGATGCTCCTGTCCAATCCCTGAACCCGTGACTGAGTTACCTTCTGTGGCAGAAGGGACTTTGCCAACGTGATTGGGATCTTGGGATCGAAAGGTTATCCTGGGTTCTTTGGGTGAACTCAGTGCAATCATAAGCGTCTTTAAAAGAGGGAGGCAGGTGGGTCAGGGAGAGAAGACTGAGGATGGCAGCAGAGGTACCAGGCGTGCAATTGTTGGAGGAGGGATCCTGAGCCAAGAAATGTGGACAGCCACCTCTCCCCTAGAACTTCAGGAAGGAACATGGCCCTGCGACACTTGATTGTTGAGCCCAGTGACACTGACTTTGGATTCCTGACCTCCAAAACCTAAGATGATAAATTTGTGTGGTTTTCAACCACTACCTGTGTGGTAATTTGTTCCAGCACCCCTAGGAAGCTAAGCCAGTCGTCTGTGCCTGAGGTGGAGTGCTCCTGTAACAAACACTGACAAGTGGGAGTGGCTTTGGAATCGGAATGTGGAAGTGATCAGAGGCTGGAAGGATTTTGAGACACATAATGCAGTGCCTTGAATACTTCTCCCTGGAGGGTGATGTGGCCGGGTGTGGGGGGAGGGGAAGCTGAGTTTGCAGGCCTGGGCTACCCAAGTCCCTCACCTCAAGTCTGACTATATTGCTAGGGAACTGAACTTCTGGGAGCAAGAGGACTGGACAACTTACTAGGGTAGACCCCAGAGAGGCTGGCCTGGGCCCTGGGAACAGGTGCAGAATAGAACTGGGCTGAGAGGAGGGTGCTCAGTGCTGGCCTCCCTGGCACTCTTCAGTGGCATGGGGACCCCCTAGGCCTTCAGAGAGAACCTCGGAGACTGGCCCATCTGGTCCTGTGCCCCCATGGCTATCCAAGCCACACTGAGTATGTGAGAATGAGCAGGGGTCATGTACCCTCTGGGTTGCGGGTACCATGTCTGTGACATGAGCCCACATCCTCTGGCTTTGTTTGGCCTGACCCCTCCTTGTAAGCTGTGGAAGGTTGAGCTCCTTCTAGCCACCAGGCAATGCCTAGCTTCTGCCAAGGGATGTGATAGGGCTATGTTACCATTCTTTCACTGAGGTGGATTTGGGTCATCCCTCGGGTTCGTAGCCTCTTGGTCTCTAGAGCTGAACTGGCCAGTTGGTGCTTTTGGCCCTGTCCTTGTCTAGCACCCCTCATTTACCGAGGGGATCTTGGCAGCACCATCTCACCTGGCTGAATCCTGGCACTCGTGAAACCTGGCCTCACCCAGGAGTCACAGAGAAAGCTCCTGGGAAGCTGGGCACAGGCCTCATTCTGGATTTGAGTGCCAAGAAGCCAAGGGCCAGCCCATCTGGACTCTTGGGCCCAAGGGTCAGCTTGCCCCAACTACCCCAGATATGCTTTGCATGAAGCCAAGAAGGTCTGTTTGTCCTGGAAGGGGTGGGTCATGCCAAGACTCAGGCCCAATCCCTGATTCGCCCTCTTCCCAAACAGAGGGAAGAGGCTGTTTGAGGTCAAGCCCTTGTCTCCTGACTCCTGGTCCAGTGTTCTCTGCCACCATTATTTCCAAGGGCCCATGGCCATTTCATTAACTGGTACTCAGCAGGCTCTCCATGGAGCTCCTAAACACAGAATTCTGGTCCATGAAGCTCTCAGGTTCATGGCTGAGTTCAGCTGCGTTAGCCCATCAGTGGTCCCTGGGTGTGTGAACAGATCTGGGACCCATTTCAAGCCCTGG